AAGAAACGATTTTTTTTTTTAATGGAAATTTTAGCTTCACAACAAAATTGAGCTGAAGGTAGAGCTTGTAGCACCTGCCCTTGCCTGCTGAATTCATTCTTTATTTTTCAGTGGCTTTCAAAGCATCTATCTTCTGACTCTTACACTAATTGCATGTATTCTCCAGGGGAACGCCTTCAGGCCAGTTCTGCTGATGCTTTTATGGTCATGAGTCTTGGACCAAGCTACCTGCCTCTGAGTAACATTAATAATGCAAACTCATATGTCACTGACTCACTGATCTCACAAACAAATCCATTTAATGCCCGCCACCCCACCCCACTTCCAAGTGTGTGGGTCGACTCCAGGGGGTGTCTGACTTCTATTTAGTGAATGAATTCACTCTGTTGCCAGTGGCCCCTGCGGGGCAGGAAGTAGGTTTCCTCTACCCTGCTAGGTTCTTCCCTGAGCTAAAAGTTAGTCTGGTCCATGTGGCTCGGTGGTTGAGCATCGACCCTGCACCAAGAGGTCACCGGTTCAATTCCTGGTCAGGGCACATGCCCAGGTTGTGGGGCCTGATCCCCAGCGGGGGGCATGCAGGAGGCGGCCAATCAGTGTTCTCTCATCAATGTTTCTATCTCTCACTTCCTCTGTCTCTAAAATCAATAAAGAAAAAAAAAATTTTTTTAATTAAATCTATGTGAGGCAGATTAAATTAGCAAGAGAAAATAACCAAATTTTGTTTTATATGTATCTGAGGGAACCCCACATACATGAGAGGAAGAAACAATGGAAAGAGAGGTGTACATGACACTCTGACTAAGGACGAGGCAAGGCACCTTGGGGCTTGGGGGGGAAGGTCACTGGCAGAATGAGAAGAGCAGATGTTCAGTCGAAGCTTTCTCTGGCCTATAGGTAGGTCATAAAAAGTTATCTCTGGTGATAACTCTTGTTATGGGCAAGGCCCGACATTTCAACTCTTCAAGGGAGAGGTAAGAGTTTCTCATGAGCCCGCAGGGTCTGAACTACCTTCAGCTCAAAATAATTCACAGGCTGAAGTGTTCTGAACCCTTTCACCCCACTGGTACCTTGAGTCTCCGGTGAGTGCCGCCTCTGCTCCGCTGGGTACCCCGCCGTCTGCTGGCACCTGGGGCGCTGCACTGAGCACCAGGGTCTCTGTCTCGGCACATTCTGTGTGTCACACCCTGAAATGCTAGAGCCTTCGATGTGCCACCGTTTGCGTCTCTGAGTGAGACAGAGAGTGTCCCTTCCTTGGCACTACATTCTTTTGTTGGGGGAGCTGTTGAGGGCTGTGCTTCCAGGGTACCACTGCTGTGCCACCTCTTAGACCTTCAGACCTGCCGCGTTTCTGAGTCAGCCAGGAGGGGTGGGGACGCAATCTGAATGCCAGTCCCTACGCTGGGGTTGGCATCAGCTTCCCACCACACACTTGTGCTCTGCTGCTGCCTGGGTTCTTGCTGTTTGGCCCCCTTTTCTATTAAAATGTGTTATTTCCCAGAAGCATCCATTCCATGTCCCCACAAACCCCAAATACACACCCGTGTGACTGCCAGCCACGCCCCCATGTCTGAGCCCCGCGTGGGGACCTGGCTTCAGGATATTCTCCACGGGCCCACTTTCGACATCTCGTTGGCCCCACTTGGACTATTTTCTTATCCTACAGTCACCTTTAAGAAGTTTCCCTCAGTAATCCGCCCCATCTCATTACTCCTTGTGCCTGGGTTTGCACCATGCCAGGGGTTGCGATGACTGTCCCGTGGTAGCTGTCTCCTTCTATGCATGACTCCCTCCCCGCAGATGCCTTTTACTTCACCTCTGTTTTAGTACGTGTTCACTGACTTCTTTAGAGAGAGAGGAAGGGACAGAGAGATAGAAACATCGATGTGAGAGAGAAACATCAACTGGCTGCCTCCTGCATGACCCTGACCAGGGCTGGGGACCGAACCGCAACTGAAGTGTGTGCCCTTGACTGAAACAGAACCTGTGACTCTTTGGTCCTCGGGCCGACACTCTAACCACCGGTTAGAGCAAGGAATACCTTCTTAATATCACATTTTCTAATTATTCATAAAAGATAACTACTAATTTTTTTTTATCCTCCCCCGAGGACATTTTTTTGTTTTTTGTTCAGATAAAGTGGGAGGGAGAGAGAGGAAGAGAGAGAGAAATATCGATGTGAAAGGGACACATTGAGTGGCTGCCACCCACACGACCCAACCAGGGCCGGGGACAAACTACAACCGAGGTACATGCCCTTAGCAGAAACAGAACCCGGGTCTCTCTGGACTGCAGGCTGACACTCCAACTGCTGAGCCAAACCGGCCAGGGTGATAACTACTAATTTTAAAAATTGAGTTTGTATCTAACAAACTAGTTGTATTCAAAGTTTGTAGATTCTTTTTTGTTTCCTCTGTGCATATTAACATTGTTTGCAAACAGTAGCAGTTTTGTTTCTTTCTTTGCAGTCCCCAACTTTTACTTCATTTTCTGGTTTCACTAGATTTCCTAGGTGTAGTTCACCATTGTACACTTTAGCACAACGCTGAGTAGGAGCAGTGGGGTGGCTATACTTAACCTGTGTCCTACTGAAATGCACATTTCCTGGTATTCTAATGTTTCAAATTAAGTATGACATTTGCACTTTTTGTTAGATAGCTTTTTATCAGATTAAAAACATTGTCTTCAAGGTTTGCGGGGAAACTTTATAATAAATGAGTTGAATTTTTATCAAATTCTGTTGAAATATATTTCTCCTTATTATTGCAAAGAATTTCCAATAGGTTTGTTTACTTAAAAAATTATTGTACCCTTAAATTATCTCCACTTTCTCATGATGTGTGTGTGTGTGTGTGTGTTTTTAATCCTCACCTGAGGACATTTTTTTCCATTTTTTGTTCAGACAGAGTGGGAGGGAGGGAGGGAGAGAAGAGGGAGGGGAGAGAGAGAGAGAGAGAAACATCGATGTGAAAGGGACACATCGAGTGGCTGCCACCCGCATGACCAACCAGGGCCGGGGACAAACTGCAACCGAGGTACATGCCCTTAGCGGGAACGGAACCGGGGTCTCTCTGGACTGCAGGCCGATGCTCCAACCACTGAGCCAAACCGGCCAGGGCTCATGATGTGGTTTTAATACATTAACTCAAATCTGTTTCTCCTACTCGAAAGCTTCATTCCCACTGACACTGAGTAAGACATGGTTTTGCAGTTCCTATTGTCTTAAGACATCTAAGATTTGTACTAGTCACTTAAAGTTTAAGTGCATTCAAGTGAAGTGTTATGGCCCTGGCCAGTTTGGCTCAGTTGTTAAGAGCATCTGCTCTCATACCGAAGGGTCATGGGTTTGATTCCCAGTTAAGGGCACATACCTGGGTTGCAGGTTTGATCCCCAGCCCTGGTCTGGGTTGTGCGGGAAGCAACCAATTGATGTGTCTCTCTCACATCAATGTTTCTCTCTCTCCCCCTCCCTTCCACTCTATTTAAAAATCAATGGAAAAGGTGAAGATTAACCAAAAAAAAAAAAAAAAAAAAACTGTTGTGAAATGTTTTCTGGCTTGCAATGCATCCTTAAATTAGGAAAAAAAAATGTGATCATGTACTACATTTGAGCTATTGGATGCGATGAACTATGAACACACATTTATTGAGGACTTCCTATTCAACTGTTTCTCCAACTCATATATGATGTATTTCATGGTGGCAATGCCTGGGTAAATGAACCAGAATTACTGATACTCATTAATATTGAGACTTTATTTTAAAGGTATGACCAATTTTCCATTGCCACCCCCAACTCTCTTCCCAAATCATCCAATCAAAGCCCAGATACTATAATAATCTTTCTAAACCCGTTAGTGGGACTTCCCTTGGCTCCCCAGGCAAGGTGTTCTCTGCTGCAAGGAATACTAAAGGGAACTTTTTCAATTCAAGGTCTTGACAGGAACAAAAGACCTGTCAACGAAAGGCAATCGATTATTTTATTTCGGTTCTGATTTGAATACGTGAACAATAGAAAAATAAATGTTCACTGAAACAGGAGACCTTTGAACACTGACTGCATATTTGATATTAAACATAACTTTTTTTTTTTTAAGGGAGGATAATGGTATTGTGGTTAGGATTTTGTTTTTAAAGAGCGGTTATTTGTTTTTGTAAGGACATGGTAACGTATCTATGGATGGAATGATGTGATCCCAGTATCACCTTCCCTAGGGGGAGAAGTCAGCTCCAGACAATTAAGGTCGTCAAAATACCATTAATTCCTAGAGGTCCTTAATGGATCATTATTCTGGGGTTTTTGTTGTTGTTAATCCTCTCCGGGGGATACTTTTTCCACTGATTTTTTTTTTTTTCAGAGCGTGGAAGGAGGGGGTGAAGACAGCGCTGGAAACTGGTGTGAGACAGACACGTGCATCAGTTGCCTCCAGCATGCACCGCCCCCCAAACCAGGGCGGGAGCGAACCTGCACCCCAGGTGCACGTCCCTGACCGGAAACGGAACCTGCGCCCCTGCAGGTGCACCGACTGGCACTCTAACCACTGCACCACCCCGCCGGGGCCAAAGTTCTTATTTAAAAAAAAAAAAAAATCATTTGACGAGAGAGCAATATTATACGATGAAATTAAAGTCCATTGCAAGGCACCCCCAAAACAGGCGTTCACGGGAGGGCCTGGCTTCCTCTCTGCTCCCCCGCACGGGGGTCAGTACCGGTCAGCCGGCGTTCCTAGGTGTCTCCGGCAGATGTCCGGATTGGGGGACTGTGCGCAGCACTCAGGGGTGCCCCGGGCGCCTCCGCCGTCCCGCCCCGCCTCGCGCCTCCCGGCGCCCGCACCCAGCCAAGATGGTGGGTCAGCGCGGCGACCCAGGTCGATCTCCTCCGCGGAGCATGCGCGGGGCCGGCCGCGCAGGCGCACTCCCGCCTCCCCCCCGCCCTTGGCGGAGCGCGCCTGCGCGTGCGGAGCGGCTCCCGGCACCCCCCGGGCTCGGCTGGTGCAGTCTCCGAGCGAGAGCGGCGGCCGCGGCGGGCGCGGGTACGATGAGGCTGCTGCTGCTGCTCCTGGTGGCGGCGTCGGCGCTGGCCCGGAGCGACGCCTCGGCCGAGCTGGGCGGCGTGCCTAGCAAGCGACTGAAGATGCAGTACGCCACGGGGCCGCTGCTCAAGTTCCAGATCTGGTGAGGGCGCGTCGGCCGCAGCGCCGTCCCCGCTTCGCGGCCTAGTGGGCCGGCCCGGCCGGCAGAGCGGCGCCCGCGGCCGCCGAGCCCGCCTGCCCGGCCCTTCCGGCGGCCGCCGTCGTCTCCTTGACGTTTGGGCCCAGCGGGCGGGCGGAGGGGAGGGCGCGGCCGCGGCCGCTCGGCGGGGCGGAGGGCGCCGGCCGGCTGGCGTGAGTCGGCGCGGCGGTGGGAGGCGCTGCCCGCGCTGCCCCGGCCCCTGACCCTCCCCGTCGCGGGTGTGCCCGGCAGCCTCCCTGCCCCGCCAGGGCAAGGCTCGCTCGGGGGCGGGAGGGACCCGCGGCGGGTGGACGCCTTCCCCCGGGGCCTGGTGCGGGGCGACGGGCGCGGGAGGCTGCGGCTCCGGTCCTCCCGACGCCGCCTCCCAGGAGCGGCCTGCCCTGGCGTCCTCCACCTCTCCACGTCCTCTGTGCGTTAGAGGAGCGGGAGGGAACGACAGAACACCCTGGCAGTTTTCGACATGTGCTTTGAAGCGATTTGTGTTTTTTTATTTAAATCACCTAGTTCAGTATTAGAAGCAGAGCAGTCGTGCACTATAAACGGTAAGTCGGGTCGGAGAAGGGTTGAAAGACCCAGATTAAAGAAATCGAAGTTGTGAAAACGCCGAAATTAGAATGCGGTGTAGGATAGGATGGTCAGATTAATACGTCTGAAGAGTTCTGATACTTGCGGTGTTCGTGTTGGCCAAGATGCATTTAAAATCGGCTTTTTCAGCCCAGGCGGTGTGGCTGATTGGTTCAGCGGGGACCCTGCACCAGGAGGTCCCCAGTTCGATTCCCGGTCAGGACACGGGCCCAGGTTGTGGGCTGATCCCCAGTGGGGGGCGTGCAGGAGGCGGCCCATGATGTTTCCATCCCTCTCCCTCATTCCTCTCTCTAAAATCAATAATAAAAAAAAAAATTTAGATCAGCTTTTTCAAACGATGAATGTTAACACAAGTATACTAAAAGTTTAGATTTTCCACCTATCAAACTAGCTTTCTGCTTAATCTTTAAAGACTAAGCAAATCTTCAGAATAAAATCAGTAAATGACCTGTAAGAGGCAGAAAATAGGATGGTGAGACTGGGTTTTTGGAGTAAAAACTAAAAACCTTGAGTGTTGTTTTTTTTTAATTAAAAAAAAGGAAAAAGGCCACTTACACCATACAAGTATACAGCAGAACTGTGGCCATCTATGAACCAGGAAGCCCTTGATCTTGGACTTCCCAATCTCCAGAACTGGGAAAATAAATTTCTGTTGTTTATAAGTCAAAAAAGAAAAAGAAAAGATTCTCTGTACAAGTGTCCAGCATATATCATCTTTCAGATAACACTGCAAATGGGAATTATGGCTTGACCATTCTGATTTTTTACTCCCCCCCCCCCCCATAATTAAAGAAAAAAAATTAGAATCTGGCAGTCATACTACCAACTTACATATTTGGTAATGTTTTTACGGTTTAAATGTGATACTTTTGGCTCTAAGTAAATGTAAAAAGACTGCAGTTTCTACATTATGTGATTTCTCTGTTTTCTACTTTTGTATCTTTTGGTTTCATTTGTGCTTTTCACAAAAGACTCCTCTTTTATAGTGGCTTGTATTGGACTACTTGTCACAGTAACAAGTTTCCTTCACCCAGGATATTTATAACAAAGTATTTAAAATGTGTAAAAAATGTGGGAAGAGCATTCAGTCCTTCAAATTAAACTTTAAAAAAAGTATTTCAATACTTCGGTTGAACTTTTTATCCTTAGGTTTTGTTTCTTGTTTTGCTTTAAGAACAAACTTGTCCCAAAAGTCTTATTAATAAGAGGTTTTTTTTGCAGACACCCTGAGCATGTTACACACAAAAGTACTTTAGGTTTTTGTTTTTTAAAAATCTGTAGATGAGCCCTGGCCAATTTGGCTCAGCGGTTGGAGCATCGGCCTGTGGTACAGAGAGACCCGGGTTAGGTTCCCGCTAAGGGCACGTACCTCGGTTGCAGTTTGTCCCCGGCCCTGGTTGGTCGTGCGGGTGGCAGCCACTCGATGTGTCCCTTCACGTCGATGTTTCTCTCTCTCTCTCTCTCTTCCTCTCTCTCCCTCCCGCTCTATCTGAACAAAAAATGGAAAAATGTCCTCGGGTGAGGATAAAAAAAATCTGTAGATGAGAAATAACTTTATTAATAGCCTTTCCAAATACATGTACATTTAGCTTATTTGTTACTTTTCTTCCCAGAGATTACTCTGTATATAGTAAGGTGAATATTGGGTTTCTGATTTTAGTAGAATCTCTTATACATTCATTTGCAAGATTGTTTGGGAAAGGAGAGGAAACTAAGGCAATTGAAAAATGTGTGAAAATTCTTTTAATTCTATTTGAAATCTGAGTGCTGTAAAATGCAGTTGTTCATTAATCACCATTGTTAGCAAAAGAACTATTTTCACCTTTCTTTCAATTGCTTTTTTCTCATTTTATATTTCTTATGCGTGCTCTGTAGCTCAATAGATCCCCTGTTAATTGTATCACTTTTGTAATTGCTAATAGAACAAAAGAGCAACACAACACACAAATGGAATTGAAGGGAGAAAGATCAAGTGTGCAAAATAGCTTAAAACAAAATTTTCTTTTCTACATTCATGTATTTTTTCAGTAACTATTCACTCATTACTTGCTTGTGCCACCGACTAAAGATACTGTGGTGAACAAGACAGGCTCCTCGGGAAGCCTATGAAAGTGGCACAGTATTACTTTATATACATGAGTGTCTGGTTGATTACGTCACTTGAGTGAGCCATCCAGTTTGGTAAGTTTGATGACACTGATTTCATATTTGGGGAAAAGATTTATTCTGCTTATTTGGACATGTAAACATTAAATATAAAAATGTAAGTTCTCTTATCTGAACTTAAAGTTCCCTTTTCACTTACCCTTTCTTGTGATTTTTATGTGTAAATGTATTGTGACAGGTACTGTTTGACATGATGTTTATATGCATGCTTTGATTTCCCAATACATGTGATTTAGCATGTCATCAGATCTACAGTATTTAATTGTTGCAGTTTAAACGCTACAATTAATACTTATTTGAACATATGACAATTTACTAAGAATAGTAGATGAAATAAAGTTAAGATTTCAAAATATAAGCAGAATATAGAAGAACTTCCTAATTTTAGTTGAATTAAGAATCCACTGCTATATTTTTAGGACAACCAAATTATAAGTGGAATTTTTTTCTTTTTAATATAATTTTTATTCTTTTATGTATTGCTTGATTTTTAGAAAGAGAGAGAGAAATACCAGTTTGTTGTTTCACTAATTTATGCATTCATTGGTTGCTTCTTGTGTATGCCCTCACTGGAGATCGAACCCACAACCTTGGCGTGTCCTTACCCAATTGAATTGTCGGGCTAGGGGCTGTAAGTGGAAATGTAAGAAGTGAATGAAGCTACTACTACCGCTACCGCAAGGAAAGAGTTGATGTACGGTATGGAGTGGCCTTTACTTTCATGGTATGGAGGCCAGAAAATGAAGACCCAAGACTGGCCCTGGCCGCTATGGCTCAGTCGGTGGGACGCTCCGGTACACCAGAAGGCGGCAGGTTCTGTTCCTGGCCAGGACACATACCTAGGTTTCGGTTTTGATCCCTGGTAGGGAGCCTGTGGGAGGAGGCACCCAGTCCTGGTCCCGCCCCCTCCCCCCCAGGCATTTTGCTTGGTGCTGGGAATTTACTTCAGTGCTGTCACAGGTGTTACAGGCTAAAGTGGAAAGCAGTCATTAATCCATGGACAGCACATGCCAATTAAAGTTCTGTTAAATGCTGTGCAAGAAAGTTACGTAGTATGAGAGAGGCCTAGGTAGGACGTCGGGGAAGGTGTCCATGAGGAAGTGAACTTGGAACTGATATTTGAAGGATAACATTTATTTAGAGCTTTCAAGCAGTGGGAATAACATGTTCAGTGGCCTTGTAAGGGGGGGAGAATAAATTTTTTTTTTAAATCCTCACCTGAGGACAGTTTTGCATTTATCTTCAGATAGAGCGGGAGGGAGAGGGGGGAAGAGAGAGAGAGAGAGAGATAGTCATGTGAGAGAGACACATCGAGAGAGAGAGAGAGAGAGAGAGAGACAGCCATGTGAGAGAGACACATCGAGTGGTTGCCACCCACACAACCCCAACTGGGGCCGGGGACAAACTGCAACCAAGGCACGTGCCCTTAGCGGGGAAACAAACCCAGGATTCTCTGGTCCACAGGCTGACACTCTAACTGCTGAGCCAAACTGGCCAGAGCAAGAGAACAATTTTTTTTTTTTTAATTTGTTTATTGATTTTTGAGAGGGGGAAGGGGAGGAGAGAGACAGAAACATTGATTTTTTCTTTCACTTATTTATATATTCATTGGTTATTTCTTGTATGTGCCCTCACTGGGGATTGAACCCACAACCTTGGGGTATTGGGGTGATGCTCTGACTAACTGAGCCACCGGGTTGTGGCTGAGAACGTAATTTCTTAAGAAGGCCAGTGCTCCTGATGAGAGAAGGTGGCGTGGACCCTGGGCAGTCTGGCAGGCCATGCTAAGGACAGATCAGCTGGGATCTCTGGAAAAGACATTCTAGGGGACAAAGAAGAGATGTGGGGAACGCTTTTAGAGGGACTTTGAGTTGCCCACACAAGAGATGGTGGAGCTTGGAATAGAAACGGTGGTGGTACAAATCGAGAGCGAAGGGACAGATCGTTAGGAGATGAATCGAGCACTTCTGAGTGACGGATCACGCGTTTGGGGAGAAAAGACGTGTCAGAGAGGGCCCTGAGTTCTGGGGCAGTGCTGTGCTGTTCACTGGGATGATAAAGGAGATGGAGTTTATGGATTGTGGGGTGGGGTGCGTGGGAAGGGGAGGAATCCTGAATTTTTAGACAAAACAACCTGTAGCCAGGGGGAAATTCTACAAAGTAATTTTCATGTCCCCCAGATAGCCACAGTA